TCCTTGTCGGTATTTCGTAGCAGTGGATGAAAGCCAACTCGCCCACACACGCCCACACACACATCCACACACACGTATTTGTTACATACACATAATTCATATTGGACCAATAAGAATATCACTGCTGCTGGCAAACCTATGGATGTACAAGCGATCCAGCTACCAGTATCAGGTATTCATGGATATGGGGAAAGGGGTGTGTCTGACTCTTATTATCATTACTACTGTTGTTATTGAAGAGGTCAAGGTAGAATAAATATTGTATTCATGCAGTCATTACGTCCAGTTAACTAATTGATAGTGGTATCCTATCATGCTGGTTATATCGCTACAAAGAAACTCTTCTCGCCCTCCTTTGGCACTACGCGCGCTCTCTCGATAATCGGATCAGCACAGCTGACCCGGATCCGCTCCGGAGTCGCTGGACTCTCTAGTCGCAACACTTCCTGCACGTTCCATTGCTGGCGCGCTGCCTTGAGCGCATCGCGAATGGCAAAGAAGACGGCGCTGCCCATGAACAGCGGCGGCTCACCAACACCACGGGATCGCTGGATAGTGCGAAGGTTCTCCCATTCCACGTCCTTTAGCAGACTGACGTTAAAGATCTGGGGAATATCCCGGAATCCAGGGATCTTGTAGTTTCCGGGTCCCTTGGTGAAGATCTGTCCCGAGGCCCGGTGCCATAGACTCTCTTCGGTGGTGAAAAGACCCTGGCCTTGGATGAAAGCGCCTTCGATCTGCCCGTAGTCGATCGATGGGTTGATGGTACGACCAACGTCCATTTTGATGTCAGCACGCAAGGGAGTCCAGTCGCCTGTGAGTGTGTCAATCTGCACCTCGGCAGCGGTCACACCCTGAGTAAAATAGAAGAACATCTGTCCCTTGTTCTCGCCCCACACGTAGCCAATGTCCGGGGTACGGTAGTATCCCTGCGCGGAGAGGTTGACCCGATCAAAGTAGGCCGCGTGAGCAAGGTCCTTCATAGGTGCTCCCGGCATCTTCTCCCTGTACGGCTGAAGACGTTCATTGAGCTGCTCGCAGGCATTGTAGATGGCGTAGCCATTGAGATCAGAACTGGCCGACGCAGCCGTGGACGATGTGTTAGCCACAGTGTTTGTGGCAGTCTCCGAGATAAAGACGTTGGAATGAGGCACACCCAAAGCTTCAGCCGCAATCATAGTCATCTTGGTATGTAGCCCTTGACCCATCTCCACTCCACCGTGAGCCACAAGGACACTTCCGTCGTGATAGATATGCACCAGTGCGCCAGCCTGGTTCAGGAACAGAGCTGTGAAAGAGATACCGAACTTGGTAGGGATGAGGGCCATTCCACGCTTCGACCACTTGTGCTTCTTGTTATATTCCTCCACAGCCTTCCGTCGATCCTCGTACGAGCTCTCATCCATAACTTGCTTATACATCAACGGCACATGCCAATCCTTCAGCTCCTGATTGTAGTGGGTCTTGTCACCAGGCTTGTACATGTTCTGCCAGCGGAGTTGTTCGACTGGTATTTGAAGATGATCCGCAACCTCCGATATCATGCACTCGGCGAAGAACATACCCTGAGGGCCGCCGAAGCCACGGAAAGCGGTGTTTGAAACGGTGTTCGTCTTGCAGATACGACCACGGACGTGCATGTTCGGTATGTTGTACACTCCATCGATGTGCGAGAGCGCTCTTTCTACCACTGCACCGGACAGATCTTGGGTGTGACCACCGTTGGCGTACACATCCGCATCAAATGCAAGCAGTTTACCTTCTTTCGTCACTCCCACCTTCCAGCGGCAGAAGAATGGATGGCGCTGACCGGAAGTAGCAATGTCCTCGTCGCGATTGAGCATGCACCGCACGGGCAACTTCGCCTTTGCAGCAGCTGTGGCACAAATACCAGCCAGCTGGACCGAACGTGTCTCTTTGCCACCAAAGCCACCTCCAAGGCGCTTTACCCGAGACACGATTTTGTTGGCAGCTACACCAGTTACTTGTGCAACGTAAGTTTGCCTAGAGATAATCAGTAAAGCCTTTCTTATGGTAGTTTCCGTGACTCACGTTTCCGTGGGGTTTTGTGTTCCACTCCAGATCTCCATCTCTCCGTCCTCAAGCTTGGGGATGGCAACACAAGCCTGAGTTTCCAGGTAAAAGTGTTCCTGACCACCCATTTTTGACTGTCCAGTGAATACATACTCTGCTTCTTTAAAGGCACTCTCTGGATCCCCACATTTGATGAAGCGGGAGTGTTCAAAGAACGACTCGGCCTCAATGGCTTCTTCCATACTCAAGATTGCTGGAAGCTCTTCATATTCTACCTTGACCGCTCTCGCACCCTCCTCCGCGATCTTGGCCGACGTAGCGAGAATCATACCAATCGGCTGACCAGCAGTCGTGACCTCATCAACCGCGAAGAAAACTTCATCGCAGTTTGGAGCTCCCCACCAATTGGCTTTGGGGTTAGGGAGATCGGTATGATCCACGTAATTAGCAACGCCAGGAATATCGAGAGCTGCTGAAGTGTCCACACTCAGAATACGAGCATGTGCCTTAGTCGAAAGAACCATGCAGCCGTAAAGCTCGTTCTTCATCAAAGGCATGTCATCGGTGTACTGTGCTTCTCCGGTAGCTTGCTTTAGTGCAGAGACATGAGGACTAGCCTTTCCGAGAATCTTCTGTTGATATGCTGCAGAAGCCTCGTGGTCTTTCTCTCCGGATGAAATGGCTCTTTCAATCTCGGCAATGACATCTTCATCAACATCTGCCTCCGTGACCTGGATGGAGGACAATACATCGTGATAGAACCGGTAGAAGAATCCCAAGGCGAGAGACTTCCTGTAAGTCGCCATTCCTCCAGGAACACCGAACTTCAAGTCGAAGTCCTTCTCTAAAGCACCCATGGTACCCTCAAGGGTAGCAGGGTTGGTGAACTTCTTGCCAGCCAAGAAGGCCTCTGCGTTGCGTGCGGACACGGTCATGGGGGCCAGCCCTCCGAAGACTAAGTTTACGCTCTGCACGTCATGGGAAGGAGAAAGTGAGACCCTCAAAGCTGCGTTCACTATCGCGATGTCATCATCCTTTCTCTTCGACTGCTTGTAGGCACGCAGATATTCTCCCTTTTCGGACGCAACTGGGATCCTTAAACAAGCGATAATAGCGTTAGGAGGGAGCGCAGTGGATCGATAACCCCTGAAGAATTGGCTCATAGGGATCTCGATAACTTCACCCAACGACATGGCTACAAGGACAGTGTTGGTAGCCACAAAGACCGGGTTCAGATCAGAGATTGGAGATGCTGTAGCCAGGTTTCCTGCTGGTGACGCGACATTGCGAATTTGCCTTCCAGCGAAATAGCGGAGTTGCTTCTTGATGGCATTGAATGGCTGGCCTCGCAATGGCCCATAGCGCTCGAGGGCTTCATCACAGATTGATTCGAGGTCGGTCAAAGAGACATTGGCCCCGATCTCCAGATGGTCATCCTTGAGCGAATACTGACGTAGTTCCGGAATATCACCGACATAGACAGAGGCACTGTACCTCATCGCCTTAAACTTAACCTCAATCTGTGTTTCCGTGCTTCCGCCGATGATCTTAGCATCGGGGTGTACAGCCTTGATCTCCAATAATTGTTCGAGGTTGACCGGACGGTACCACTTCTTTTTCTTGTTCCCGAGAACCAAAGGTCGGAATTCGTGCTTGTGGAGCTGAGGCGGGAAAATCAGTTCCGTGCCCGGACTATATTCGATAAACTCGGGCGGCGTGAATTTCGGTGCATCTCCATCTGTAGTGTCTGCTGATGATTGCTTGCAGCAACCCCCAGCGCCGTTCTGCTTATCCATACAACAACCAGTTCCACCATTGGCCAGGGCTTTCCCGCAGCCCTTGGGAGCGGTGAAGCTCTGAGCAGCATCCAATATGGGCCTGTACCCGGTGCAACGACAAAGATTCCCGTCAAATGCTTCTTCGACGTCGTGTTCGGTCGGCGCGGAGTTATTGCGTAGGAGGGCATAGAGGCTCTGTAGATACGTTAGCTTAGTCCCGCCAATCACCATCCCTCGAAGAGCATACCATGACAATTCCCGGCGTACAGAAACCGCACTGACTTCCATTTCCAACCGCAAGCCGCTGTTGAACAGCATGGGGATTCTTCACATCGCCGATTCCTTCCACGGTTATAACATGTTTCCCGTCCACACTGATCAAGGGGGCGAGACAAGCGTTGACTGAGGCATGGTAAAGCTTCTTCGTCGTCGGATTGAAATGCGATACAACCTGTTTCATGTCAACATGAACCTAAACACCGATAGAATGACCTAGGTACATACCACTGTGCAAGCACCACAACCACCTTCCGCACAACCTAGCTTGGTGCCTGTCAGGCCGATACCCCGCAGATACTCCAATAGCGTGACTTCAGGATTGATCGAGTCGAGAACGACCTTTGTGCCGTTGAGATAGAAACGAATAGTGTCGTCCCAATCCTCAGTGAGCTGAGCCAACGTGACAGCCTTGCTGGCAGCCACCGTTGGCTTTGGTGATTCTAAAATGCCTGGGGCCATCTTGTTTCCTGAAGCTCAAATGCGGAAAGTCGAATTCCCCGCCGAGATGAGCGGACGCCAAGACCGGCCGGTCAGTGTGATGATGATTCAGTTGCTTCAAATTCGGATTGGAATAGCATCCATGGAGGTATTTAGAGCAAGATTTGTTCAGAACGTAGAGGGATATACTATGAAACTTATGGTGGCAAAATGATATAGAAAGGGGTGAAGTCCCTCCCCGGCATAAGCTAACCAAGGAAATGGAGTCATGGACAAGCTTATCGTTGCCTCCCCACTGCGGTTATCGCTGGCTATCGATGGCCCGCCTGGCGGCGATCGCCACTGTCCGATGGGCGGTAACCTACGGCAGATGTCATCTGATCACTAATCTGGCGACTCTCACTGGTGCCCGGTGAACCAACTAGTAGTAGTGAGTACTCTATACGACCTAGTCAGTAGAGTCTCGATTATACTATTAGAAAATGGAATAGCAAAGCAAGAAAATATATAGTAAGAAATTGCGGGTCTAGTACCAACAGCAAGAAAGAAGAATAGGTATCGATCAACGCCGCTCCCAATGCTCTGGCCGAAGCCACCCAGGCAAAGATAGTAAATAAACCGTTCAAGCGAAGAGAAGCAATGTACACCAACAAGTACTAGCAATAAAATGTCTATAAATACGAGCGATAAGCAAAGACATTAATTATACTTTTGGCTTGGCTCCAATGAAGTCCTTTTCTTCTTCCTCCCATTTCTTGCGTTCCACGACGCTGCGCGCACTGCAAAGTGATTACTTGTTAGCTCATACCATTCAATCTTTAGTTCTTTCCTTTCAATCCCGCCATAAGGAGAAGAATAGAACGCTAGAAATTTAGGGGTCTGTGTCGGTGTACTTACCGGTATGCTCTCACGAAACGCCAGACTTCCGTGTCCGCCAAGTTCCAGGCCTCTGCCACATCAGTGATACCAATTCGATTGGTATCTTTACCCTTCAGATACTCTCGTGCCTGTTTCAGGATGCCATACTCCTTCTCGACACCTTGCTCACCAGGGTTGGCCTGTTGGACGGATTCCTTCTTCTCTTCTTCATTCTTTGCATCGACCTTGCCATCACGAGGGATCTTGAAACCAAACTGCCACTCAAACTCGTCCAAGAGCTCGGACGGCAGAGACTGCCCGGCCTGAGGAGGCAGCGACTCCACAGTCATCCATAGTGAGGTGCCCACAACGGCGTCATCGGCAACGGCTCTCTTAAACACAACAGCTCTCGCGGAACCGCCGATGTCAGTACCGAGGTGCTCTTTGGTCACTTCGGCCAACCATACATCACGGTCTGTCTCGCGGCGAATGTGCCGCGTTGTGACCTCGGTGGAATCCTGCTGCAGACTAATGAGCGTAAAAGGATGAGGCAGAGTCCCGATCGTGAAAACTTGGGTCGTATTCCGGTAGGTCGCTGGCTGGCTGACCTGCATGGGCTTTTCGGCATCGCAGGGATGACATTTCGGCGAGTTCGGAGGGCACGAGTGGGGAACGGGAGAACTAGGACATTGCACCAGGGCTTTGGCAAGCCGTAGGGCCGGTTCCACCAGAGCCGTAGTATGCTCGGGAAATGGCTTCAATACAGCAACGCCTGCAGGGAAGGAGTTTTGGAAGGTGTTGTGCAAGTGGGCATTGATCAACTCAGCCAAGGCCAATCGCCCAGCAGTAGGCGAAGAGACAATCTTCTCAGCAACTGTAGGGTAGTGGCTAGTAATGGCAGCCGAGTCATACAGAGCCAAAGCGCTAGGCTCTTCCACCTTAAAGAACTCGGTCGGAAGAAGATCGATCAGAGAGGTGGACTTGTCATCCACCTTGTTCATAGCTTCCTTGATTGCATCGTTGATACGCGACTTCTCCCCAGAGAATAAGGCATTCCCGAAGCCATCGAAGCGGGTGATAAGGGCAGGATCAGTGCCCCGACGCAGATAAGTGAGAAGAGCATTATCGTATCGGGCCATGGGAAAGCAGTGCCAATCCGCAAGCATACCATCACCCATATGACCCCAGGCTAGCCACCGGAACAGCTCACTTTCAAGTTCCGGCTTGAGACTCAATGGCTGGACAAGCTCGTAAAGCTGGTTGTTCATGGCCTCCCCAGGGCCAAGAATGACGGGGCGGAAACCCTGCGCAAACCAAGCCCTGCGCCAGGCGAGAAGCAGCTGCGCGTCCGCATTATCCTCCTCCCGATCGTTTCCTTTGTTGGGCTCGTAGTACGTGTAGATGAACGGGCGATTTCTAAGAGGAGGGAGGACGGAACGGTTCTCATCGAGGGTGATAGATGACGAGAAAGGGTTGATCCACGACCAGTCGCTGAACCACTTGGACTCGCCGCTGGTGCTGTTGGGTTGCGGTTCCGGAGGGGTATGCACTGTCGGGTGAAACGATGGCAGATGCAGGTTATTTAACGAAGGAAGTTTCGGGTGAGGGACATATTTGGCCGGACCGGAGACTTCCTCACCAGTCGATGGGTCGGTTACTGGAGAGGAGGAGAAGATAACCAAGACAAGGGCAACAAAGACGATGATGGTAATGAGAGCCGTGCTCCGGTGAGGGACCATCATTTTGATCGAGGATGCACGGCCTGGATCTGGCCTGAATAAATCAGGGGAAATCTGCCGAGTAGAAGTTCTGGCCGTCAAAGTCAGATGTGAGAAAGTGATCGGATGTTCTTCTGTGAGGCTTCTTCTGCCTGTCCTAATGCGGGTAGGAAACGAACGGTAAGTAATAAATTAGGTATTACGGCCAATGTCTTTAGGGGGTTAGGGGATGAAACTGAAGGAGCGAAGGTGGTTGAACGAAGGAGTAATATAATAACAGGAAGAAAAACGAGGTGTGTAAGAGACGTCAGAGACTCGTCTATTAACCCATGGCAAGCGAGAGTGAGAAGTTGACAACCCGAAGCACCTCAGCAGGAATAGAAGCATAGACTGAAGGCAGCGTTGCACTTTGTTCCTGATCACCCCAATGCGGAAGTGCCTGGAAGGGGTTCAGAAGCCTAGACCCAAGCGGGTAAGTCAACGATACGACCGTGTCTCCATCCCAAGTGGATAAAGAGTCCCAGTTGTTGGACAAAATGTGTGGTAAGCCACCGCCGCGTGTGGCGGTGCAAACAGAAAAGCGGTCAGTGTATTATTACATTCTGTTGAAAGTACCCCAGAGGCGGTGAGATCCTAGCCATCGAAATGATCCTCCCAAATTGTGGGGAGAAAAAGGAAAGGAAACCTCAGGCTACTAAAACTAGTACTGTCTGGTGGGCTGCAGCCGACATCGGCACTTTTTCTCGCGTGCCCCTCTTGACTCATCGTCGATCGCTGCTCTTCCCATCTTCAATTCCAATTAAATTCCCTAATTCCCTACTGACCTTTCATATCCCGCCAAGTACAGTTGACGTCCCTCATCCCCCCACTTACAAGGGCATCGCAACTGTAACAATGGCTGTCGAATCAGTCTCCTTGCAGGAGCGCCTCGAGCGATGGGCTCAGAGACTCCAGAACCTCACAGTGTCTCCCCTCACCCGAGACTATCCCGACAACCAGAAGCAGGAGCTTCCCAAGAGGGCAATTGAAGCCTTTGAGTCGATTCAGCTGTCCAAGGAGACGCAATCAGACTTGCAGAAGATCTCCGGCTCTTCGTCCGGATTCACTGTCTTCCTGACGGCTTTCATCGTGCTCGTGGCACGCCTTACCGGTGACGAGGATATTGCCGTCGGAACCAGCTCCAGCGACGATGGCCGTCCTTTCGTCCTCAGAGTCCCAATCGAGGCATCCGAAACCTTCCTGCAGCTGTACGCCAAGGTCCAGAAGGTATGACAAAAATAAAGGTGGCGTTTATCATCGTTGTAGCTCATCTAACTCTTTCCTAGGCATTCGAGCAAGGCTCGGCCGAGATCGTACCTCTGGGCAGTCTACGATCCTATATCCAAGAAAAGTCTCAATCTGAACGCTCTCCCGTCCTCTTCCGCTTTGCTGCCTACGATGCCCCTGCTGCCTCCCAGGATTACCCTGCCAACACCTTCGAGACAACAGATCTCGTTGTCAACATTGCTCCGATCAGTGCATCGGATGGCTCCACAACCCAGGCGGAATTGGGAGCTTACTACAACCAGAGACTCTTCTCCAGTTCGAGAATTTCCACCATCCTCAAGCAGCTTGCCCGCCTGGTCGAAAATGCGACCAGCAACCCGGAACAAGCAATTGGGCGCATTGACTTCATGACCGAGGATCAACTGGCCCTTCTTCCGGACCCGACCTCCGATCTGAACTGGTCCAATTTCCGCGGTGCTATTCATGACATCTTCGCCGCTAACGCTGAGAAGCACCCCGAAAGACTCTGTGTAGTGGAGACCAAGTCGGAGCGGTCTCCTCACCGGGAATTCACCTACAAGCAAATCAATGAAGCCTCCAACATTTTGGGCCATCATCTGGTCCAATCGGGTGTGGAGAGAGGAGAGGTCGTCATGGTGTACGCTTACCGTGGTGTTGACCTGGTGGTAGCCGTTATGGGTATCCTGAAGGCTGGCGCGACCTTCTCGGTCATCGACCCTGCCTACCCCCCGGAAAGACAATGCATCTACCTTGATGTGGCTCGCCCTCGGGCATTGATCAACATTGAGAAGGCCACTAAGGATGCCGGTGAGCTCTCCGATGTGGTCCGCTCATTCATCAACGAGAACCTGGAGCTGCGCACGGAAGTCCCTGCCCTGGCCCTTCGCGACGATGGCTCCCTCGTCGGAGGATCGATCAACGGCCAGGATGTCTTGGCCAACCAAGTTCCTTTGAAGGCCAAGTCTGTTGGCGTCGTTGTCGGACCTGACTCCACCCCGACTCTGTCCTTCACTTCTGGCTCGGAGGGCAGGCCCAAGGGTGTCAAGGGTCGGCACTTTTCTCTCGCATACTACTTCCCATGGATGTCCGAGACCTTCAAGCTTACCCCCAACGATCGGTTTACCATGCTCAGCGGTATCGCTCATGACCCGATCCAAAGAGATATTTTCACCCCTCTTTTCCTGGGAGCTCAGCTGCTGGTTCCTGCCCGGGAGGATATACAGAACGAAAGGCTTGCCGAGTGGATGCGCGAGTATGGAGCTACTGTCACTCACCTTACCCCTGCCATGGGTCAGATTCTCGTCGGCGGTGCTTCGGCACAGTTCCCCTCGCTTCACCACGCCTTCTTTGTCGGTGATATCCTGATCAAGCGAGACTGCCGCTCTCTGCAGGGCTTGGCCCCCAATGTCAACATCGTCAACATGTACGGAACGACTGAGACACAGCGTGCGGTCAGTTACTTCGAGATCCCGAGCTACTCGAGCGACGAGGGCTACCTGGACACCATGAAGGACGTCATCCCGGCAGGTCGGGGTATGCTCGACGTACAGATGCTGGTTGTTAACCGCTTCGAACCCAGCCGCATTTGCGCCATCGGTGAAGTTGGTGAAATCTACGTCCGTGCCGGTGGTCTTGCTGAAGGCTACCTGGGTTCGCCTGAATTGAACCAGAAGAAGTTCCTCAACAACTGGTTTGTTGATAACCAGACCTGGGTTCAGAAGGACCAGGCCAAGGCAGACAGTGCGAACGAACCCTGGAGGCAGTTCTACCAAGGCCCTAGAGATCGCTTGTACCGCAGTGGTGACCTTGGCCGTTACACTCCTTCGGGAGATGTCGAGTGTTCGGGACGTGCAGATGATCAGGTCAAGATCCGTGGGTTCCGTATCGAGCTGGGTGAGATTGATACCCACCTGTCTCGCCATCCCCTGGTGAGAGAGAACGTCACCCTGGTGCGTCGTGACAAGTTCGAGGAGCGAACTCTGGTCAGTTATTTCGTGCCGGACATGAGCAAGTGGGCTGCTTGGCTGCAAGAGAAGGGTCTCGAAGACGATGACTCTGCTGAAGGAATGGTCGGCATGCTTAGACGGTTCCGTCCTCTTCGTGACGACATTCGTGACCTGCTGCGGACCAAGCTCGCCTCCTACGCCGTGCCGACGGTGTTCATCCCCCTCAAGCGCATGCCCCTCAACCCTAACGGCAAGATCGACAAGCCTGCGCTGCCCTTCCCCGATACTGCAGAGCTTAGTGCCGCGGCTCCTCGTCGCAAGTCATCTGTGGTCCAGGCTCTCTCTGAAACCGAGCAGGCGCTGGCCTCAATCTGGGCCTCCCGCATCCCCAACCTTACTGCTCGCATGATTGGACCTGATGACTCCTTCTTCGACCTTGGAGGGCACAGTATCCTGGCCCAGCAGATGTTCTTCGACATCCGCCGCAAGTGGCGCGGAATTGACGTTAGCATGAACGCCATTTTCCGTAGCCCGACCCTCAGGGGATTTGCCGCCGAGATCGACCGTCTGCAGAACTTCGAGTCTTTCGCCAGCAATGATGACAGTACCGCTGCTAAGGCGGATGCTTCAGCTACCCCTGATGAGCTTGACGACGAATACTCGAAGGATGCCCGGAAGCTGGCAGAGACCGCCTTGCCCGCCTCTTTCCCCACGCGTACCGAGCCTATTCTGTCCAGTGAGCCAACCATCTTCCTGACTGGTGCTACTGGCTTCTTGGGTGCGCATATCCTTCGTGACCTCCTCACTCGCAAGTCGCCCATGGCCAAGGTTGTGACCCTGGTTCGTGGTAAGACCGATGAGCAGGCGCTTGAACGTATCCGCTCCACATGCCGCGCCTACGGCTTCTGGGATGAGGCCTGGACCAGCAGACTGCAGTGTGTTTGCGGTAACTTGGGTGAACCCCGCTTCGGATTCTCGGATGCTCTCTGGGATGACTTGACCAAGCGTGTGGATGCCGTTATCCACAACGGTGCTCTTGTCCACTGGGTCTACCCTTACTCTACCCTTAAGCCGGCCAACGTTCAGGGCACCATCGATGCTCTGAAGCTTTGCGCCAGTGGTAAGCCCAAGCAGTTCTCCTTCGTCAGTTCCACCAGTGTTCTCGACAGCGACCACTATGTCTCTGAATCCGAGCGCATCGTTGCCGCCGGTGGAGCGGGTATTAGCGAGGAGGACGACCTCGAGGGCAGTGCCGTTGGACTTGGAACCGGCTACGGCCAGAGCAAGTGGGCTGGAGAGTACCTGGTCCGCGAGGCTGGTCGTAGGGGTCTGAAGGGAACCGTCGTTCGTCCTGGTTACGTTCTTGGTGACTCCAAGACCGGAAGTAAGCAAACAGTCTCCCAGAATATTGATTTCCAAAACAAGCTAACATACAAACACTAGCCACCAACACCGACGACTTCCTCATCCGTATGATCAAGGGATGCATCCAGCTGTCTTCCCGCCCCAACATCAACAACACCGTCAACATGGTTCCCGTGGACCACGTTGCCCGCGTGGTCATCGCCGCCGCATTCCAGCCTCCTTGCACTCCCATCGGCGTCGCCCAGGTCACTGGACACCCGCGTCTCCGGTTCAACCAGTTCTTGGGTGCTCTCCAGCTGTACGGATACGACGTCCCGCAGGTTGACTACGTCCCCTGGTCCAAGTCTCTGGAACAGTACGTCAATGACGGACAGCACGATGACCCCGAGTCCCAGCACGCACTGTAAGTTCCTACCCTACCCAAACTATCCACTATATTCCTAACATCCAATCTCAGCATGCCCCTCTACCACTTCGTCACCTCCGACCTCCCCTCCAACACTAAGGCCCCCGAACTGGACGACGTCAACGCCGCCGCCTCCCTCCGTGCCGACGCCGCCTGGTCCGGCATTGATGCCTCCGCCGGCGCCGGCGTCACCGAGGAGCTGGTCGGCCTGTACGCCTCTTACCTCGTTCAGACCGGATTCCTTCCTCCCCCATCTGCTGCCTCGACCGCAGCTCGGCCTCTGCCTACGACCCAACTGAGCGAGGATCAGAAGAAGGCCTTGTCGAACGTTGGTGGTCGTGGTGGTTCCTCTTAGATCATATACATATAGGTTTTCTCACTGTCTAGCGTGTTTTGCTATATCGGTTTTTCCTTTTGCACTTGGGGTTATGTGGGTTGTTTGATTTGTGTGGTACATTGTATGAGGTTATGACCTTTTCTCTTATCTTTCTCGGGTGACAATAAAAGTTCCTGTATGAATTGGTTGATGGGAAAGTAGAAAAAGGAATGTATAGAAAGGACACTGTATATGGGGTGGATGGGTTGGTTAGAGGTAGAGGATTTTCTCTCTTTCTTCAATGGATTATGAACCAGTTCAGATACTTTCCTGATGCACGTAACAATTGTTTCAATGAAAGGAATTAGTCTTATCAAGACCTCTGATGTTGATTGTAAAGAGACTCGGGCATACTCTGCCAAATCATGGAAGATGTACGGGATTGTTTGGTATCTTTAAGGGTGCTTGAAGTCAGGAAGAACGGGGAGGGCCGAGAAGGGAGGCACTGGGAGCGGGTGAAGGGTCTGTCTGGTGAGGTGTTCAAGCTACGTTGAAGGGTTTTCAAATATTTACATTGCACATGGTTCTATGCGGATCAATCTTATTCCTCCTAACAAGCAAGACTAGACAAGTAATAGCAACTAAGGAATGACTGAAAAGCAAGAATCAATACAAGACAAATCCCGAGACTTAATCATCACCATCTCCATCGTGATCCGCATCACCCCATCAGCTCCAAATTGATTGTCATAGATGCCAAAATGGCTCTTTCCGACGATCATCGACTCAGCCACTAGTTAGTACCCCAGGTAGCGTCACCAGTGTCAGTGCCCTGGAAGGTAAAGGACGAGGCGTTCTGGACGATACGCGCAATTGGCTTCTCCGACTGGTCGGTGGTGAAGAAGTCAATGATAAATTTCTGGTTGCGAGTTAGCAGCATGCCTTGATACCGATATATGAAGTGGAAATGGGACTGCGTACGCTTCCATCCATGTAGATCTGGACGCTCTGGTTGCCCTGGAGGTATTGCTGGTCGTCATAGTAGACGGTTGCACTGCTTGCTGTTAGTGTTGTTTTGTATAAAGAAAGGCAAGACTTTACTTGATAAAGGCACTGTTAGGCCTGTAGAAGCCAGCAGCTTCACCCTTCACGGCCTGTCCCATGCTCTTTGAAGTCAGGTCAAAAGTCAAATCAACCCGAGAGATGTTGACTTTGCCGCTGATGCGGTCATGGTAGTTCCAGTGATAGCAAGAGCAGCCATTCGCGTGCGCCAAGGATGCCTCCAGCATCTGTCGACCCAGGGGCCGGCTGATTTCCTGCTGGAAGGCCTTCTTGATTTGCATCTCAGACACATCATGGCCGTCAGAGCTGGTGATGGTCACTCGGCGGAAAAGCTGCAAAAGCTCTTCGTCGGAAGAGCCCGACTGAGAGACTGCCTGGAGAGACATGGTCTGGACAGGGGGAGCGGTGGTCACAACGGTAGACATTTTCACAAGGTTGTAATTATTTGAATTCAAAGAGTATGATCAAGAGGTAGTTCTTGTGGTTGCTTGCTTTGTGAGCTGAGTTGGTGATGGTGCTGAGAAGACCTGGAGAGGAATCTGCCTTCCTTATATACTTTTCGCGACTGAGAAACGACTGAGAGCTGACATTCAGCTCCGAGATCTGTTCAGATGCTTCGAGCGGTTTGAACTTGGTGATAGCACAGTCACTTCGAGTAAAACCTTCCAGCAGTTCCTCTCTCAGGCCCGTATGTCGACCGGAAACTTCGCTACGAACTTCCATCTGCACGATGAATCACATTTTTCAGCTGTCCTTGAGCACTCGGATCTCACAATAGCAAGTCTGGTGTCTTCATTGGGCATGAATCCGGCCTTGCGCTGCGGAAATGCTTGCGATGGGTATCTTCATCGTTGCAAAGCATGACTCTGGAGTACACAGCCCAGCTAGCCACATTTTCATCCCCAAGGTGAGCAGTTGTAGGCACTGACATAATGCTAGTGGGTGTCAACCCATCCTGGAGCTGACACTAATCTTCCATAAGCCCCGTCTCTCGTCGGCTATTTTTGCTACTGGTCATCATTGGTAATTCATATGCGGCTAGAGGCCTATACATTTTGAGAACAATAGAGAACGATGGGTGCTTGCAGGAAGCAACGCTGTTGGCCATATAGATGCACTCGTTTACTTTGACGCTAGATCATGACGCGGTGCTAAAACATGATAGACAGATGGTCTGGCCTGCATCTTTCTTGGATATAGACTGTCCAATGAGATTTTTCTGGTGATGTCTGTCGGGATACAAGAAAAATAGCGCATCTCCAATCAGCATGATCAGAGAAGTAATCATGTATACACACCCATGGCAGTTTGCGCATCCTGGAAGCCACATGTATACACAAGGATCACTCAGTGAGAGGAACGGTGTTCACCCGACAATTCAGCGGTGAACAGCAATTTTCTCGCCATGATACTCTAGATGGGTATTATCACCACCTAGATGTCTTCTAGTTCAAGTACCGTTGATAGTCGCTTGGCGTCAGGCTGCGCTGGGTGGGAACTGTCTCGACTGCTCTCGGAACTGCCAAGATCGACCGACTGGAGGTATTGGGTAATGGTTTAGGTGCTGGAACATTGCATGCAGCAAGTGTTCTGCAGAAGCCAGCTGAACCACTGACGAGCAGCGACATGAGCAGGGTCGACGTTCAAGGCTGCGATCAGACCCAGCTCGGGAATTTCTACTAGATTTCCTTCGGGGCTGCCGGGATGTTCGGACTGTTCGACCATGACATACAGTGCTTGGCTCTAGAGCGCATAGCCCCGCGACGTACCGTTCAGCCAGCCCTTGATGCTACAAACGTCTGTCCGGTTTTTTTGTATGGAACGGGCGGCTCAATCAGGTCTGCGGCCGAGACAGATACTCTGTAATACCCGCACCACGTGCAAAACGGTTCATTGATCGTTGTACAGAGGCCGGGGGTGTTCCAGTTCTTGTCTATATGCAGCCTCCAGTCGCCTGACGGTCACGTCGGACGACTCTTTCCCCAGAAAACCAGTGATTCTCAAGGCAGTGGCTGGCGCCACCGCCACCAACACCGTTCATTGGCGGGGTTGCCTTGCTCGAACGGGATCCTACCCCGGCGTCTTGTTCCCCTTCTTTCCAAGTGAGGAACCGTGACTTTATTGTGGCTTCCTCAGGGGTTGGCGTGTGCCTAGATTGGCTCGAACATTTTATCCTATCAGGAGATCGCTGCCTACTTAGGTAGACGAGACGGCGATGCCGATTGCCATAAGGCACATGCTGCAGCAGTGCATTCTTTTGAAGGAGTAGAGGTAGTGCTGTGATTGAGGCAAAAATCAGAGAGGATCGAACAGTAGAGGGGTAACTATGTGGAGAGACAGAGAGATGAGGAGGAGGAGGAGGAGGAAGAAGAAGCGAAGCCAAACAAGCAAAGATGTGGATCACGGGATCCCCTCCTTGGCTACCCCTCCTTCCCTTTTCTTGTGCATGAGAAAAGTCATTTAATTATTCCCCTTCGACTTCCAGTCTGCTGTGTATTTCTATGCTGAATGCTCCCTAATCCTCTTCATTAGACATACACACTGTACGGAGTACCATAACGGATGATCTTCATAATGAACCCCGCATAAGCTTCCCGTTCCTCTGGACCGATGGGTCCAGCGCAGCTCAACCCGAGAATGGGTTGTCGGTAACTCATCGGCTCTGGCAACTCATCGCTTCGCACTTTCGGCAGTTCGGTGGGGGAGCTTAATAATGGGGTCAACCAGCTTGCTCTGGATCCATTATGCTTCGGCAACTCGACTGAACTGGCTAGCTCGCTCGTCCCTGACTTTGAATTTCACTTAGTGGTAGCTGCGAAGTATTGATAAACCGCTTGCAGTCCCGTCAAGATACTCATTTCCTTGTAAATTCTTCTACGTCACTTTGCTCCAGCACTTGGTACCTCAGAACTTCATTTGTAGGTGACTTCCACATCTCGAGTCCTTCCGCAACTTTCCGCGTGCTTGTGGAGGTAGCATCATAGCTAACCATGGCGTTGCAGTTATTTGAATACATCCACCATGGCTGCTAACAATGAGATGGAATATGTCCGGTATGTCTCCTGACTGCGATACTCGCCCTGTAGATACTGACCTAGCTAATGAAATTGACATGTAGCCTGGGAAACTCGGGACTGAAGATCTCTAAAATCATTCTGGGCGCCATGTCCTATGGCGCCAAGCAGTGGCAAGATTGGGTACTCGACGAGGAGGAGGCTCTCCCTTTGATTGAGCATGCCTACAAGCGTGGAATCAACACATGGGATACGGTACATTCAAGCCACTACGTTTCTCTTGCCTCAATATCGTGTTAACTCGCTTCCAGGCCGATGTCTACTCCCACGGCCGCTCCGAGGAAATCATTGGCAAAGCCCTGAAGAAGTTCTCTATTCCCCGTAACCGGGTTGTCATCCTCACTAAGTGCTACTTCGGTGTGGATGACCAAGGTAACTTCCCTCCGATTTCTGCTTCCGGTGTGAACGACGGTGATTTCGTCAACCGGGTTGGCCTGTCCCGCAAGCACATCTTCGACGCCGTTGATGCCAGTGTCGAGAGACTGGGAACATACATCGATGTGCTGCAGATCCACCGGCTGGATCGCGATACCCCGCGTGAGGAAATCATGCGAGCTCTCAACGACGTGATTGAGAGTGGCAAGGTCCGATACATCGGAGCCAGCACGGTAAGTCTTGCCTCTTCCCCTTCCTTCAACGACACATGCTCACGCCTATAAAGATGGCTGCATGGGAATTCCAGACTCTCCAGAACATCGCCGCCCGCAATGGCTGGCACCAGTTCATCTCCATGCAAAACTACCACAACCTGATCGCCAGAGAAGAGGAGCGCGAGATGATCCCATACTGCCGCGACACTGGCGTGGGCCTGATCCCCTGGTCGCCCATGGCTCGTGGTGTGCTGACCCGCCCCTGGGGCTCCCGCTCAACTGTGCGTGAAGCAACAGACGGGGCACTCAAGTTTCTCATCCGCAGCCGCGAGACAGAATCCGACAAGGCTATCGTCGATCGTGTCGAAGAGATCGCTAAGAAGAAGGGTGTCAGCATGGCCCAGGTGGCCATTGCTTGGTCGCTGAGCCATCCCAATGAGAACCCTATTCTTGGCCTCAACAGCAAGGAGCGCATTGACGAGGCTGTGGCCGGTACCAAGGTTAAGTTGACCGAAGAGGAAATCAAGTACCTGGAGGAGCCTTACATCCCTAAGGCTATCACTGCTCTGGAGCGGTAAAGAATAGAATACGATGATCATATATGCAAACAAAATGTCATTCTATACTCTTCTAAGATCGTATTGTTCAGTCACTCAAATGAGCTCTAATATGACATTTAATTACCATTAGCAGAAAGGACGAACGAACTCGTCCTCTTCATGCGCTTTAGTGATATATCAGTGATCGACAGGATCAGTGAACAAGCCTTGCCCACCCTCTGTTAGTAGGCCGATCGCTCACAACCAACCCCACCAACCAATCGTACTACTTAATACTCTGCAATCCTTCGGAAACTAATCCCACTACGTTCCTACTAGCTGGAAAGTACTCTTCTCTAATACGTGCAGATACTATACTAAATTCAACGAGACCATGCTCTGTGTGCCAAATATATGTATTTTTCAAAATATTCGTACCTACTCTACAAAATACCCATTTCGAGAAGTACCTGTATGTTTCCGAAAGCAATCAATGCTGCGGACCTAAGTTTGTACATATGCACGGACAGGAAGGTGATGCTGATGTTGATGGCAATGCCAGAATAGAGAATCAGTAAGGAAGGAGATAAGAAGGTTTGGAAAAAGGAGCGCTATCAGATATATGTCGTGGTATTCATATCGCTGGTAAGTTCAAAAGAGCTGAGAGATGATGTGCGGAGGAGACAAGTCTCATGCAAAGTTGGGAAGTGGGAGATAATTGCCAGACACCCAGTGCGATAAGAAGTAGCGGTAGCTTTGGCCTTGGAACAGAGGCCCTGCCATCCGCTTGCATACAATACAACCGCAGCTCCAGGCTTTCGTGTCACTATTGTAGTGTCTTGGATGAAATCGAGAGGTATGCTCACCTCTGCAAGAGGGAGATAAAAAGAGAAGACAGCTGTGCAGAGCAAAAGAACAATGAATGGGGTATGTAGTTTTAAGCTCCAGGCTTGGCTCAATGATGATGTCCGGTTTTGCGGATGATATAATCGAAGAGGCTGCTAATCCGATGCCGACGCTTTCCCTTACTCGGTGCCGAGTCTACGGGAGAGTCAATGCCTTTTACGCGAAAGGAATCGGCCTGGCGTGACTGGTTGTTATCGAATCCCTTGGATCGGTCTATCACTTGATCAGGGGAAGTCGTTGTTTTGAAATCTTGGACGTCGGATTTTCTGTGGGACCATAACCTGCGACTTTTGGAGTCCTGTCGGGCAGGTGTGGCATCGACAGCTTGGTCCTGTCTCTGCTCACGAGGACTGGAGAGGGTACTGTGTCGATTAAGACGACCGTTGCTACCAGAAGCACGTCGGTTAGTCCGCTCAATAAAAGCCGCACCAGTTGAGTTGGATCGTCTCGATAAGCTTCCAAAAGTCGTAGATCGGTCGGACATCGTGGATTGTGAAGGGACATAGCTAGACGTCGAGAGACGATGTCTTCGACCATTCAAAGGGGGAACATCATCGTGGCCATCTTCCCTCTCGGCTCTATCAGTCTCGCTTCGAATCGCAGTTGGCGAGCTGTGTCTCGACGGACACATTGTCTTGGAGTTGATTGCCAAGGCCGAGTCGTCGTAAGTGAAGTTATGAGACCAACCTTCCCTAAAGGCTACCCATATGCTGGTGATAATAATCAGCATGCGGAGGTCACTATCGGTTTTCAGAACCTTCCGATCCAATGGGTCGTCCATTTCGGAGTAGTCGCTCAACACGGACATGGCGGAGGTTGGTGAGCCAGCAATACCCGGTGTTGTCGGAATTGAGTACTCATCATACACCTCGAGGTAGTTGCGTGTCATCGTGCCAACAACAGGGTGACGACGAGTGCTGGGATTGATCACGCTGAACGTAAACCGCTTGCTCTCCTCTTGCGAGAAGCCCGGGGGCGCCGACACGCGACGATTCTTCCCACCTCTCAGAACCCACCGCAGAATCTGGATACCATCATCCGTGTTGGCCACGAATTCGTAGGAGCCATTGGCAAGAGGCGTGGCCTCCCAAACTGGTCCATGGTTCAAACAAATCTCCGCCTTTCCTTTGGATAAAGCATCATCCCTGAAGAGCTGACATATTGTTGCGACCACCTCACGTTGTTCTCCGCCTTCATCATCGGAGCTTAGAGACCTATCCCCATTATCGCCCGGCGCCCGCTCATAGAGGTCACTAGTTACGACAATGAGGTCATTGGGGCCTAGTCCTTTTTTACCGCGGAATATTGTCGGAAACTTGCGAGCTAGAGGCGGCAGAAACACAGTGGAGGGGAGCACATCCAAAAGTGGCAGAGGTCGTGGGGTTTGCGACACACGTTGAAGCTGCAGGAGAAGCTTAGGTCGGAGCTTTAATCGCCTATGGCGTGCGTGGGCCGCGGGATGCGCTAGCTGGTATGACGTTTTAGGGCGCGACGATTGTTTCCGAACTGATTGCGAACGGGCGATCCTTGATGGAGCCAGGACTGGGGTGACTGTCGAACGCTCGTCATCGCTCGAGGATAGTGTATCAATAGTAACTTTCCGCGACATTGTACGCTGCGTCATTTCGGGTTCCGTGGGTTTGCGCCGGTTGTAGATGCTGCCTAGTCCCCACGATGGCAGGGAAGCGAATGAGATTGCCGGGGACGAATGACGCGTCGGGCTAGGGATCTGGGTTTCCGATGGTAACCCGGGGTATTCGTTTTCGTGAGCTGCTGCCGCATCCGCTGTCAAGCCAAGGTTGAATAGCATTCTTTCTGGGGATGCGACAACGTCTGTTTAGTTTTCCCCGATCAACATTGACGGCGAAGATCAGTGGCAGTGACGGGGATTAACTATAATGACAATGACGGGGGTGGCTGTGGCTGACAGAATACGTCAGCCTAAGCCGATCCAGCTAGTTGACAAGTTGCCGTAGTTTGCTGTTTTGTAACCTCGTTGTGCCAGAGAGATATGCTGAATAATTCAGAGCAATGGAAGGCAAGAGAACAAAGACAAGAAAAAGACCCGGGTCAGGAAAGATTGGTGGCGGTAGTAGTAAGAGAGAATATGACGAGAAGACAAGGAAGGGGGAGGATGGATGGAGGGTGGATGGAAGGTAAGTATAGTAAGTAGTAGATAGAATGAGCGTGACCTGCACGGCAACTATCAACCCCTCCACCTAGAATAAGGCTGAAGCTGCAGATGTAGATTTGTCGAAGGAGGGGATTGAGGTCAGCGCAGGAGGCAAACCGGATAGATGGATGAATGGGGAAGTTCAGATGTCGTACGACGTGGACATTGGAGTAGAAAAGAGCAAAGAGTGGGCGGAAGTATGTAAGGGAGGCCGGACAGTGTGGGTTAGGGGGTCCAGAAGCGCCTTAATATTCAGACTTTCAGATGAGGGAGGAAAAGAAAAGAATACGAATCGCATGTCAGATGGGATCGATAGATCATCGATTAGAGGGGGCGAAAAAGATGGCGGTCAAGATCCCACCATGAATTTGGTGGGCAAATAGTCATAAATAAGAATCATCCAGCATGCTTCTTGACCTGAACTAAATAAATGGGGGAGGGTCAATGTGGAAAAAGAAAAGAAAAAAAAAAAAATAAGTGTAAAAAAGGAAAAGCAAAAATTACAGTAAAAGGAACCCACATGGAACCAGAAGTGACAATGACGGTTCAGTAGGTCACATTTGGTCAAGATCCCGCTGGGGGGCTGTTCTTTCCCCTTAGTGTCTTCTTTGCGAGTCTGGTCTGCGTATACTACTTACTATTACTATTACCCTTACGCTTTCACGGCGATAGTTGTCTGCTGGGCTGTCCATCGGGACCATCGGCAGGTCTCCCCCCGATCTACGGTTTAGAGCCAGTCAGCCAAGCCAAATTGCAAGAAATTGCAAAATAATGTTTCTAGGAACAGGCTGGGTCGTCTGGTCTCGTTGCATGAACTGGGTCCTGGCCATCCATGGCCGGCAGCTCGCATCCATGGCCCCAAGCAGCTAGCCGACGATCCTCTCTCTCGGAACTAACCAGACGCCGACACTAACATTTCTTCATTGGATGGCCACCCCCATCGGCGGTTTATTGGCTGCATCGTAATCATCTCGTATTGCTTGGCCCGTATCAAATCAGTGAGGACGATTACTACAGCACAGTAAGTGCAAAGTATGAACTCTGCCCTGCAGAATTAATAGATTCGTTAATTAATAAATTGTTCCTATTATTATAACGAAGATCATCCTTAATGCTTCCATGGAGCAGGACTATTTAGCATTCACTGTACTAAAGTCAAGAATTGGAGATTAATAGCTTGACCGACCCTTTGACCGACAACAGCATTTCGGAGCATCGGAGCTGAATTATGCAATCGAGATTAGGTAATCGAGGGGAAGAAACCATGCCGCTGCTATGCATACATACTTTCTGCTTGAGCATGTTGTGCCCTGTGGTGTAATCAGCATTACCCACCCTCATACATGCTTTACCTTACTTACCTCAGACTACGTCCCTACCAAACATAAACAAGGTTAAGTATCCTAGTTCAGTCAGGCTCTGGTATCTTAGTTGGCCTCTGCCACGATGCTATGTTAATTAATATCGGGGAGAGCAACACAACCTCCATCGTAGTATCCCCGCGGACCTTCGGGCTTTCGACATTTGCTGCAACGGAACCGGAAGCTCCGACTTGCCGGTAAGGTCCGCACCGTGCCATGGGACCGGATGTCGGATTTTAGAGGCAGCAAGCAAAAAAAGGTTTGGATCTCTGGGTCTGCAAATTTGAGGCAGACACGCCGCTGACTCAGTGCCACTTGGTGACGGAGACCAGCGTAAGGCTGAATCAGGACTGAAAGCACAGTAATACTAATCACACTCGTCCTCCCTTCACCTACTATCTTACTAGTCTAGCTGGAAAAGGTAATTCAGATCGTTGGTGCTATGAGACTTTACTTTCTGCCCCCCTTGCCCAACACTGCAGTGCCAAATATACTATCTTCTGACCTAGTGTCTGGTAACCATCTAAGCCTTGTCCAGCTAAGCTTACCTCTCGTATTAACTGATCCTGAGACTACTTGGCAGTGTCAAATGCCATCCTGAAATGCCTCGTTGTCTCCCCGAGGGAATCCGACCGAATGACTCCCTGGGTCGGGCTTGGCATTACGATCTAGCAAACGAGGGTC